AGACAGGAAGTGGCTGTGAATCAGCGTGGGTTGGAGAAGATACGTGCTTCTGTTTGCCTTGTGTGGTTTGTTAATTGGACCCATTAGCTCCTCTCCCTGAGCCTGAGGTTTCTCCTCTGTGAAATGGGGTTAGTACTAAATGAGGACCACAACATGTAGCACTTAGCTCAGTGCTGAGCCCAGAGGGCGATCCTTACAAATATTCATTTGCCGAGTCAGCATAACATAACAAAAGCTTGCAATTGTCCAGGCCAATTGTGTTAGCTGCCCCATCCTCTGGAAGGATATGGAGCAAGAATCTGGACTGAGCTGGTAGAGGGTTGTGGGCCAGACAAGGGAATCTGCCTTTCAAGAGCAGCCCTGGAGAGGGGATTAGAAGGGGGTCTTGAAGAAGGAGCAGGGCTTCAGTAGGCAGAAACATCAGTTCTAGAAGTCAGAAGTCTAACCTGGGTCTCACTGGGTTAAAAACTAGGAAATTGGTAGGGCTATTATGTTTCTGGGGCCTCTAAGAGAGAATCTGTTCTTGCCTCGTCCAGTTTCTAGAGGCCGCCTGCATCCCTTGGTTTGTGGCCCCTTCCTTCTTCAAAGCCAGCAGTAGCTGATCTAGTCTTTCTCATATCACATCACTCTGAGCTGACTTTCCTGCCTCTGGTTACATCAGGTCCACCCGGATCATCCAGGATAACATCGCTGTCACTATCCTTAATTCCATCTGCAACCATAGTTCCCTTTGCCATGTAACCTAACGTATTCACAGGTGCCAGCAGTTAAGGGTTACTTTGGAGGAGTGTGATTTTGCCTACATAGTCCCTGCCCTGTTCTGGGGGCTGAGGTGGTGAGGAGGAGGCGGAATCGCCCGGGAGGCTGTGTGGTACCCACCCGCTGTTCATCACTCCAGCCTCCGTGTTACATTCTCCAGGTGGCCTTGACTCACTTTTCCCCTCTCCCCACCGCCACCACTGCCCCATTACTGGCAAGTCTCTCCCAAATTCTGCACTTCTCCTGAATGTTGGTCATAATGGTCATAAATAAAGCAGCATCCCTCTGTTTCGGCACTATTGATACTTTGAGCACTTAGTTCTCTGGTGTGTGGGGGTGCTGTCCTGCACCTTGTATGATGTTTAACTCTGTCTCTCGCCTCTACCTGCCAGATGCTGGCAGCACTCTCATCTGGGTGTGACAACCCCAAATATCTCTAGACAATGCCAGATGTCCTCTGGAGGACAGATTGCCCAGGGGCTGAGAACCACTGATATCGTGCCTTTAATGTCTTCCTTACTAGATTGGGCACCCCAAGAAGGAAGCCCCAAGAGGGTGACACCCCATCAGTCTTCCCCATCCCTGTGTCCCCAGCACCTGTGTACTGCTTGGCATTTCGTAGATGCTCAACATACTGGTTGAATGAATTAATGGGTTTGTGTTAATTTTCTTTATTTTGTGTTAACTTTCTTAATGGAGAAGTTAGCCTATAAAAATATGTGTGTGTATGTGAGTGTAAAATAGACTTCTATTTCCATAAACTGGCTACCTAAGAATCACTTGGGGTGATTCTTTAAGTAGCCCCATTCCTGGGTTCCACTCACAGAATTGGGGTTCAGGCTGATGAGGTACAGCCTGTGAGTCTGTATGGCCAAGAGTTCTTCACCAATTCCTCAAAAAGGCAAACACAGAATGACCATATGATCCACCGGTTCTGCTCCTAGGCATATACCTGAAGGAATTGAAAGCAGGGACTCAGATATTCAGAGCAGCTGTATTCACGATAGCCAGAAGGTGAACACCATCCAAGCATCCACCAAGAGACAAATGGATAAACAAAAGGTGGTGTGTACACACACAGCAGAGGATCATTCCACCGTACAGTGGAGTGAAATCTGACACACGCTACGACATGGATGAACCTCGAAGACATCATGCCAAGTGGAATCAGCCAGTCACAGCAGAGCACATGCTGTGTGCTGTCACTCATGAGGTCCCTGGAGCAGTCAAACCGGAGAGACACAAAGTAGAATGGGGGTTGCCAGGGTGGAGGGGGCTGGGAGCTGGTGTTGGATGGGCACCGAGTTTCTGCTCAGGATGATGAAAGAGTTCTGGAGCTGGGTGGTGGCGATGTGAATGTCATTGTGAATGTACTTAGTACCATGGAATTGTATACCTACAAATGGTTAAAATGGTATATTTTCTGTTACTTATATTTTACCACGCACACAAGAGTGCTTCATCCCAGCTAGATCTTGGAATGAAGAATGTGGAATGAATGGTGGGGGGTTGGGGGGGTTGCATACTAGATGAGCTCTAACCGTTCATTTAGGCCTTGGAGCCAGAGCTGACGGGGATGGGAGCAAACTTGGCTAATTTCTCCAGGAGGCAGCCCTCCCCTGGGACATACACATAACTAAGCTCTAAGGGGCCAGGCTGGCCACCGAATGGAGGCCACATGTCATGTCCACGGGGGCAGCTGCTCCCAGCTCTGTCTGAGCCTTGCCATGTGCCTGGTTACGGGAGAGAAGTCCCGAATCTGGGTTTATATAAAAAACCTCAGTGCTTAAATCTTGACACCTGGTTCAGTGAACAGGTGAACAAGTCAACAAGGCACTTGTGGGTCAAACAGAACAGCTCTTCAGGCCTCGGGTGTGGGGTGGCGTGTTTTCTTGGAGGCTTGGGTGACCACTGAAGAACTCCAAGTTCTGCTTGCTCTTACCGGATGTCCTGTCACTTCTGAGGTCTGGGGCCAGCTCTCTCTGCGATCCCTGGGAGTTTCCCTTGCTTACAGGGCTCCTGAAAGGGAGCTTTATAGACAGAAGGGTGCATATGAGTGCCTGGGGTCTGGTCTCTGCCATTTGTGAGCTGTGGGGTGTAGGAGACCTGCCTCTTTCTTCCCTGTTGCCTCAGTTTCCTTGTCTTTCAAGTGGGATAGTAATAGCTCTGCCTGGGAGAGTTAGAGTGGGGCCTCAGGGAAGGCCAGCTGAAGGGCCCCGAGGTGTGTGTGGGTGGTGATGTGTGTCAGCTCCGGTGGGAGCATCGAGCATGCGTGAAGCAGTGCAGGCCATCAGCTGGGAAATTACACAACCTGGACATCTGTTTCTGCGTCTGTGATGTACCTGGTGATCTGCTCCTCCAAGAGTCATTCTGGGGATTAAGTAAGATAATGTCCAAACAGTGCCTGGCCACAGCATGTGCCCCGTACACATTCATTTTGTTCCTTGTAGTCCAATGCTTTTGATCTTTGCGAAGACTTGAGCAGAGGGAGCCGGGGCTGCTTGGCCGGGGCTGGAAACAGAACGAGCAGAGAGCCAGGAAATGGACTCTGTCCTGCCCCTCTGCACTGACTCCCTCTCCTCCTTCCCGGCTCTGAGGATGGTCCTGGTTTTGTCCTCAGAAGCCCACACACTGGCTGTTTCGGAAGGTGGCCTCAGCTTTCCAGGGCAATTGAATAACTTGGGGATCTCCATTTATTGATACCTACTCTTTCAAGATCCCATGGACTGTAGCCTGCCAGGCTCCTCTGTCCTTGGAATTTTTCAGGCAAGAATACTGGAGTGGGTTGCCATTTCCTCCTCCAGGGGATCTTCCCAACCCAGGGATCGAACCTGCATCTCCTGAATTGCAGGAGGCTTCTTTACCATTTGAGCCACCGGGGAAGCTGCTACATTTATTGAGATCAGCTCCATGCCAGCCCCAGAACACATACTTTGCTGGGGATGGGCCCAGAGGCCATCTCCTTTGTGATACCCTGGGTTGGCTGGCTGGAGAAAGGGCCTTTGCCCTGCCTGGACCCTCTCTGAGGGTCAGAGACTAGGGGGACATCATGCCCACCCAGCTTAGGGAGCAGCCCAGGGTGCTGAGGGCCTGCCCAAGATCCCACGTCTCTGTAACCAGGCCCCAAACCCCACAGGTACTTGGGGTGTTGATCCCATGAAAGAGGATAAAAGGCCCTTAAAATCCTGAGATGCTAAGGGGCCTAAAGGGCTATGTGACCTTTGATGAGTGACTGACCAGTGGAATTTAAGGACCACTCTGGCAACAGGGGTCAGACGAATGCATCTCAGGTTCTTGTGGGGTCCTAACCATGTGATGGGACAGAGGTGCCTCCAGGTCTGTTGAAGTGCCAGCACAATTTCCAAGTGGTGGTGGGCTCAGGGACATTCAGGCCGGAGTCAGCACCCCCTTGTTGCTTACACACCTGAGTGTTCTGATGTCTGTCCACCGGCCAGGGATAAGAAGTGGTGGGGTGACAGGAACAGCCGTGTGTGCACCTTCCTCAGCTCCATGTATTCATTTTGTGTGCTTGTTACATGTGTGTTCACTGTGTTTGTACGTTTATCACGTGTGCATATTCATCGCATGTGTGTCCCTAGCACGTGTTCATTATAGGGCACGCTGGGCAGGATACGGGGAGGGGTGGGCAGCTGACCTGGTCCATCAGGAGTCCTTCCAGCCTTGAGAAACGTGTCCTCTGAGGCCCTGGGGTTCGTGAGGCGGGAGAAGAAGGGGGTACTCACCGCGAGGGAGAGTTGACGTCCTTGTCCCCAGCACCTGGCCTCCAGCTGGGGATGGGGACTGTCCACAGGAAACAAGAGGACAAAATGAGGTGGTGGTGGTGGGGCGCATTTGTGAATCCATTTCACCCACTTGTGAATCCATTTCACCAGGCTTTTCTGAGCCAGTCGGCCAGGTTCAGCCGTAGGAAGGTTGAGGTCTAGTCTGGGGCTGATGCCAGGTCCCCAGTGGGGCTGCACAACATGGTTAAGATATCAGCAAAGAACGGGCACCCGGTGTGGGTGCAGAAGTGGGTGATGGGAGGGGCTGTGCTGGGTGGGGGAGCCCAGACCTGTGTGAGCCTGAAGGAAGGACACATAGGCTTGATGCTGGCTGGGGAGGGGCTTGTCCCAGTCTCCCGGCTAGGAAGCTGCACCCAGGCTCACTGGGATGGGACATGGGCTCTGGCACCTCAGGCAACACCAGCATCAGCTCCCCGTCTTTCTCTCCCATCTCTGCAGGAGGTGGAGGAAAGCGCAAAGGGAAAAGCAAGAAGTGGAAGGAAATCCTAAAGTTCCCTCACATTAGCCAGTGTGAAGACCTCCGAAGGACCATAGGTAAGCCGTCCTGCTCCAGGGGGCGCGGGGAGGAGCTGGGAGGGGAGCGAGGAGCCCAGTCACTGCAGAGTCATCTGTCCAGCGTGTCAAAATGGACAATGCTGTAAAGTGGTGCCAGGTAGGAGCTCCAAGCTGATGCCTTTGCCAGTTGGCATAAAGATACAGCCAACATTCATCCAACATTCATGGAGCATTTGATGCATGCTGGGTGGGATCAACCCCCAATGACCCTTTGAGGCTGTTAATTTGCCTCCCTTACTTTATGTGTCTGTATGTGCCTGCTAAGTGGCTTCGGTCATGTCTGACTCTTTGCAATACCATGGACTGTAGACCGCCAGCTCCTCTATCCTCCTAAAGATGAGGGAGAGGCAGACTGGCTGGGACCTCGGGCTGTGGGGAGTGATGATGTGCCAGTGAGCTCCTGGCTTTCCTTTTTGCCTCCCTTATATCCCCAGAGACACTCACCGCCCAGAAATGCCAGTGGGTGCAAAGAAAGACGACACCTCCCATCCAAAAATAAATAAAGACATAAAAATCGTGTTCTCTCTGGGCAATGGCTGGGGACAGGGACAGCTGAGCTGAGCTGGCCCCTCCAGAACGGTCACACTTTGGCCACTGTTCACCCCAACAATGTAGACACCTCACTTTCTACCTTCCTTCTCACTTATCCTTGAGCCAGATTCAGGGACCTAGTGCTCCCTCCCTCTCCATGTCTCTTGTCTCTGATCCTGACACTTGGAGGTGAGCAAGCTCTACTGAGATTGATTCATTCCCTGCCCCCTGATTCTCAGTCTCCCCAAGTCTAACCCTGCTCCCCAGGAGGTCTCAGGCCATTGCCCCAGGCCACCAAGGCCCCTCACCTTCCGGTTGGCCTGGCCTCACCCTCTTCACTTCCGGCCTGGGGGACCCGGGAGCCTAGGTTTTACCTCTGAGCTTTGCTCTGCCGGTGGACCCCACCCCACGGGCCCCCGCCCCATCTGTCTGTCTAGGTCCATAAACCAGCCTCTTGGCACGGTCCACTCCCCAGGGAGGGTGTGAGAAACGTGTGCGCTGGCGTGTGAAAATGAATTCTTCTGTTCTCCTCGAGGGCATTGAAAAGGCTCTGTGTGTGAGGGCAGTGTGAAGAGAGGCCGGGAAAACAGGAAGGCCGCCATAAAGCAGCCGAGGGGCTGCTGCTCGCGGGGACGGGCCCCAGGGCTCGGGCCTTCCTGCGTGTTTACAGTCCGTCGCCCTGGTGTTTGCCCAGCCTCTGCTGGGGTCCTGCTGGAAGGCTTTCCTAAATAAAAATCTCATTTCTTTTCTAGACCAATACACAAACCAAACAGTGGCAAATGCCGCATTTATTTTTCTTGCGCACACATGAGCTCATTTTCTAAAGCTTTGGAGAGGATGTCCTGGGACAGGCTTTGGGCCAGGGTGACGCAGCCCTTCTGGGCCTGGAAGGCCGCGTGGGAAGGCTCTTCATTAGAGGGGAGGACGGAGCCCTCTAGGATCCCCTGGACTGGCCAGAACAGTGGTCTGTTGAAGCCATACCCTCTCTCTTGCGCTCAGCATGGCCCTGACAACTGCAGGCCGTCTCCTTCAGCAGAGACCCCAGGGTGATTTTAAGAAATAAGAACAGCACCCAGTGGACCCCTTGCTGAAACCACAGCCGCCTCTCCTTCCCCCTGGAATGAAACACAAACTTCTCACTGTGCCTTATGAGCACTTTGGCTGTTGTATGAAGCTTGGGGATCCCCTCTCAGAATAATGTTTTTACATATACAGAAAACAAAGTACATGGTGTTGCAAAGGAAACCAGTTCTTTTCAGATAATTAGATACTTTAAAATATTATGATCTGGAAGTATATGAGCTTTTTTGTCTTTTAGTCATGTATGACTCTTTGAGGTCCCATGGCCTGTAGTCTGCCAGGCTCCTCTGTCCATGGAATTTTCCAGGCAAGAATATTGGAGTAGGTTTCCATTGCCTACTCCAGGGGATCTTCCCAAGCCAAGCATCAAACCTGCATCTCTGGGTCTCCTGCATTGGCAGGTGGAGTCTTTTACCACTGCACCACCTGGGAAGCTTTAATAACACTCAGCAACTGGTCTAACCAAGGCTCAGCAACTGTTCTAATAGCTACTGTAATTCTGAATTAGTGAGGAGCATAATGGTGATTGCAGCCATGAAATTAAAAGACACTTACTCCTTGGAAGGAAAGTTATGGCCAACCTAGATAGCGTATTAAAAAGCAGAGACATTACTTTGCCAACAAAGGTCGTCTAGTCAAGGCTATGGTTTTTCCAGTGGTCATGTATGGATGTGAGAGTTGGACTGTGAAGAAAGCTGAGTGCCGAAAAGTTGATGCTTTTGAACTGTGGTGTTGGAGAAGACTCTTGAGAGTCCCTTGGACTGCAAAGAGATCCAACCAGTCCATCCTGAGGGAGATCAGCCCTAGGTGTTCATTGGAAGGACTGATGTTGAAGCTGAAACTCCAATACTTTGGCCACCTCATGTGAAGAGTTGACTCGTTAGAAAAGACCCTGATGCTGGGAGGGATTGGGGGCAGGAGGAGAAGGGGACGACAGAGGATGAGATGGCTGGATGGCATCACCGACTTGATGGACATGAGTTTGAGTGAACTTTGGGAGTTGGTGATGGACAGGGAGGGCTGGTGTGTTGTGATTCACGGGGTTGCAAAGAGTCAGACATGACTGAGCGACTGAACTGAACTGAACTGATAAGTAATATTTCCAGATACCTGCAATGATGGTGATACGAATGGGTGTGAGATTTCTGTTGTTGACCATTCCCAGGCACTGCTAGCATTACTGTGGGTTGTTGTTGACATTCATGAGTCAGGAAGTGCTCATTTCCAGTTACAGGCTGATGAATAGAGAGACGATGTTTTTCTCCATCCAAGTTCAGTGAGTGAGTGAAGTCGCTCAGTGGTGTCTAACTCTTTGCGACCCTGTGGACTGTAGCCTACTAGGCTCCTTCATCCATGGGGTGTTCCAGGCAAGAATACTGGAGTGGGTTGCCATTTCCTTCTCCAGGAGATCTTCCTGACCCAGGGATTGAATCCGGGTCTCCCGAAGTATAGGCAGACTCTTTACCAGCGGAGGCACCAGGGAAGTCAGGGTTCAAGGACCTCTTAAATCCTGTCTGTGGACCTCTTGGCAACAACCTTCCTATGCTGCCTTGTGTGAGTCTGCCTTCACCTTGGTCTCAGTCACTCCCTCCTCCTCTGTTGACTTTGCTGTGCTGGTTGCTTTTTCCATGACTGCCCCCAAATTGTCTCTAGCCTAGAGCCTCTGGACCTGCTGTTCCTTCTGCCTAGAATGCTCTTCCCCTACATTCAGGGGACCTTTAGGTCTCAGTTCAGATAGCAGTTCCATAGAAAAGCCTTCTGGGACTTCCCTGGTGGTCCAGTAGCTAAGACCATGCTCCTATTGTAGGGGGCCCAGGTTCCATCCCTGGTCAGGGAACTAGATCCCACATGCTCCAACCAAAGATCCTGCATGCCATGGTGAAGATGGAAGAGCCTGCTTGCCACAACTGAGACCCGGTACAGCCAAATAAATAAATATTTTTTTAAAAAAGAAGAGAAAAGCCTTTCCAACTAATCTTTAGAAAGGAACTGTATTCTCCTTTTAATTGGTATCTTTCCCATAGTGCTGTCTATTAATCCTCTTGGCCCATGACCCCAGCTGCAGTCATCTTGTGTTTAGTTGTTGACCTGCGTGTTTTCTCTCTCCCTCACTGCACTGGCTGTCCCATGACCACAGTGACTGTGTGGGTCACCACTAGGACAGTGCCCAGCACACTCTAGCAGCTCGTTAAATACTGGGAGAGTCAATGAAGTGAAATCTTGGAAATTAGGGCTCTGTTTAGAAAATCTGTGACATGAACTTGGCATTCCCAAATTTAATGTAGCCCATGGTTTAAAACTAAATGTCATGAAAGTTCAGGCTTAGAAGGTACCTTAGAAAGCATCTGCTTTAACACTCCATTCCCCCATTCCCTACCAGGTAGATGAACAAGTCAGAGGGGTAGATGACCTGGTGACTCCTGGCCCAGGCCAATTTCCCCTGAGGCTGCAATTAGAATAATTCTTACAGGGATGTTAGACTTTTAAAGAATTCTCAACTCAAGGAACTGGAGAGCATGTTGTCCAACTACCCTTTTCAGACCTGAGTCTGAATTTCAGAGTCTGTTAGCCTCCAAGAGGAGAAGTGACCTGCTTTGGACAGTCCAGGCCCCTGGTCCTCAGCTGCAACTCTCCATTCACCAGCATTATATTGACTCACAAACATTTTTTTGGCATCAGCCCCCAGCCAGTACCCAAAGCAGAGAGACTGCTTGTAGGCACTCAGAAAAAGAGACATTTCTGTCTCTTTTTTTCTTTCATCTTCTAAGTGTGGGTTGCATGGCCATCAGATTACTGTACAAGTTTATTGGGCCCTCATGGTATGCTATGCACTTGAGAAACAGGCCTGATTCCTGACCCCCCAACCCCTGGCGCCACCCTCAAGCTCACTCATGGCTGAACCCAGGAGGCTGGCAGAAATAGGTGACAGCAAATTGAGAAAGTTTCATGTTGGAGGGACAGATTGCTGAGCTGGAGAACTGTGCCGTGGGTCTTCCACCCATCAAGAACTTCTCTGGAGAAAATGACATCACTCTGAGCCTCTCAGGGCATCTCTTTGTGTGAGCTCCGGAGGGACGTGGACCACATCTTCCTTCTTGGGTCTCCATTGCTGGTACTGGGAGTAGATGGATGGATGGATGTATCAAGTGATTGAATGAGCGCCGCCCTCCTTCCCAGCCTGGAAACTGTAACTAACTGTGAATGGCAGCAATGAGTATTAAGACAGAGATTCCTTGCCACATGTATCTACTTCCAATTGAGCCCCAGACATCAGTAACCAATTTTAGACAGTCCTGGCAGAGAGCAGACAGATCGTGAGACGAGGAAGTGTTCTCTAATATCTGCTTGATGAAACATCGAATAATGGC